TTTCCCATTAAAAGGTACACTTCTTGTCACAGCTGTGACAACATGGCTGCCCTAATGATGCTGCATTGCTTCCCTGTGTATCTCTGTCTCTGTCTGCCATGCTGTCTCCCCTCCCTCCATTCGTGCTGCCTTGTAGAGTGTGAGGCTACATTAACAACAATGTGTTAACCCTTGAGGGCTCAGCCTAATGCTAGTTCATCATTTAGCAGTAAGGCATTCCCTGGGAAATATCCCACCCTCTTCCACCGTCTAACTACACCACCTCAGCCAAGCTTCACAATCAACATTGCTGTGTACAGTATTAAATTGTTTGTTTAAAACTTATACTGTGTGTGTGTGTGTGTGTGTGTGTATATATATATATATATATATATATATATATATATATATATATATATATAATGTATATGTGTGTGTATATAAAATACATATAATATGGTTTTTTGTCTGGTGAAAAAGATTTCCCTGGAACCTAACCCCCTCCCCCATTTACATTAATTCTTATGGGGAAATTGGATTTGCTTAACATCATTTCGCTTAAAGTCACATTTTTCAGGAACATAACTACAACGTTAAGTGAGGAGTTACTGTATTAAAGCTTGCTTATGGGAGATGTCACAAATGTCACTTAAGATTGATTTAAGGATGTCACGTCTGGTTAAACTTAAAATCCAGTTAAGTTTAGCCATTGCAAAAAGCATTTCTTGCCATGTAAACCTTTAAGATGCTGTCTGAACTGACTGAGTGTAGCTTTCTTGACAGACACTAAACACACTTTCTGTAAGCTTGACAGATTTGCTCTCTTCTTTGAAGCCTGCATGGAATCCGGACTGGCAACCTACATTATTCAGTTGCTTTGAAAGCAAATTATATCTGTGTACACTGCCAATGTAGGTTATAGCACTTGGGACCCTTTGCCATTCTTGAGGTCACTAAAGCACCAGGAGGCCACGTGGGTTATTCCTGCACCACCTGTAAGAGCCTGAATCTCAAACCAAGTTTGACAGCTGCTCCATATGTTGCTGATCTCCATTTCCGATTCACATCAGTATGTGCTGCATTCAGTAAGAACCTATATAACCTTTCCAATCAACAAGCCGTTTAGCTCCAGGGCCTTAGCTTATACAGTTTGTGACTAAAATGCAAGGATCTGTCATGAGTGCTCTGCGGCTGCTTATTACTGCAAATACCACTCTTAAATCATGGCTGGAGCATGACTGATTGGTACAGGAAAAAGCTTCACTGCTGTAATTTTTTTACCCCTCTTGCCTGACATGGTGAACCCTGAAGCATTTCTCAGAGAAACCCAGATTAGCCATTCTAAGACTTTGCCATTTTAAATTCCACGCATCTTGAATTGGCACAGCTGAGCTCAGCGACTTCAGCTGACACCATGGATAAAGTGTTCTGATGTGCTTTTGATCCATCTCGTTTCACAGGGTTTGTGGTGTCTGGCTATGCAGAGTACCAGCGCATATCCCTAAGTTAGTAAAAATCCTCCTTCCTGTACCCCATTCTGTCTGGACCCAGTGGAGATCAGTCACTGGTACATATGAGACATTCATTTGGTGATGCTGGTTGGAGTTGGGGAGAAAAGAGGAGGTGTGAGGGACTGTTTGCCATGTGTTCATGGCACATGAGAAATCTTAACATGCGCCAGCATGAGCAGAGCATCTTGTCCCTGAGGCTTGTAGGAATGCAGTGGAGACAACACAGTCTACCCTTAAGGAGTGGGGAAAGTGCAGCTGTAACAGGTGTGGGAGGCTGAAACACAAGTCATCAGGAACTGGTGCAGATGTGCTAGCTGTCTCATGACAGCAGTCTAACAATCGGGTAGACAAGGAATTTGGAGGGGTGGGGGGGGGGAGAGGAGGATTTGTGATTTCTATCTAAAACTTGTTACATTAAAAGTTTCTGGCTTCTAGATTCGTGCTGCTTCTGAATTCTAATCCTAGCTCTGATCCAGACATTTTTGGTGGCATTGGGCACACCTCTCTGCTTTGGTTTTCTTTGTCCATAAAAATGGAGATATTTATTTACTGATCTGTCAAGTGTTGGAGGATTAAAATGTTTGAACTGCTATAAGGCCTAGGTAATGTGTAAAGCATCAGCTTTAGAAATGGAGATTTCTTTCTAACAACAAAAAATGTGCTTTTGGTCAGTGGAGAAAACAAACCTTCCAATATGATTTGCCAAAAGATGCAGAAGAGACTCGTTGCTCTGTACAAGCTGAAAGAACAGAAAGGAGAATTGATGTTAAACTGCAAAAATGTGCTCTTTTGCTGTACAGAATGCCGAGGGAGACATGCCTTTGCAGTGGGGTGGGGATGTAGATGATAGCCAGCTGTAATGTGGTAAAACATGACCCTTGGACCATGAAGTGTACACTGCCCTTTCTGGGGGAAAAATGTTTGTGGTGGCTTCATGTTCCTCTTAGGTCTAGGCAGTGGGGTTCCCCATTAAGGACTCGAGACTGTGTTAAGAACTTATCCAATGAACGGATCAATCACTTGTATTTTGTCTTAAAGGATCTTGTCTCCTCTGGGGAAATTATTTGATCAAGCTAAAATTCCTGGAATCTGGAGTGCCCCGTACTAATTGTCAGCCCTCTCCTTTCCCCGTTCTCTGCCCCTTTTTTCAACAACCACAGTAATGTGTGAGTGCTACTGCAGGAACTGGAGAATGAGTCTACTCTGTAAGGCTTGTGTGAGCTGGGAGGGAAGCTGCAGCCACCCATATTTCATACAAAGGAGACTCAGGTTGCTTCCCTGACTCTGCTGACCTGGGACAGATGCATCTCTCTGAGAAGTGAGCATGAGGTGGAGTCAGTTCTTAGATTGTTTATGTTCAGGGCACCCCTAACTTGATTTTGAAAGCTGCATCAATAAGATGTTCAGAAGATGTAATAGACCCTGCAGGTTCAGCTGGTGAGACAACTTCATCCCACAGCTGTTGGCTTATGACCAGAGTGGTCTAAACCAAGTACTGAATGGCACTCAGTATTTCACCCTACAGGACACTGGCCTAACAATAATGGGAACCACAATAATGAAGGCAAGTTTAGATCATGGATTGTAACCCCTCTGATAAAGTTCTTGCTGTCTTATGGCTTATCCCAAGCAATTTCCTCTGGCTATAAATGTGTATTTCCCCACTACAGTACTCTCTCATTCCTCATCCCACTGAGAGACTTTTCCTTTTCTCTGTTGCTTGCTAGGGACACTCAGGAGTGAAAGCATTGTTTGCATTTATTGTCACTGAACTACTTCCATGAGATCCAAACTTTGCTCTTAAAACCACTGCACACTGTCTCTTGTTTAGTAGTGGCCAGCTCCATTTAAAAACCTAACAATCAGATCCTCCAGA